TCTGTTTTGTTCTGCGTAATACAAACAGAGGTTCACTAAACAGGTTTTAGAACATTTGGAAACTTTATGCCATATAGCTCATATTGTATAAAAGCGAAATTGGGCCTCTGAAACAAGTGGGTTTCAACTGTTTTTCTTCCAGGCACCCAGAACAACAGGCTTCTCTGGAACGGAGAGAAACTACTCCCTGAAAACGGGATCGTAAACTAGCTAAGGGAATTGAGATCGAAATATGCGGAGACAGGAAATCTGACTAAAGTGTGTACTCTGCTGGGGCGTACCCCTATTAGGGGTACTAAATAGATGACCTTGTTGTCTCTAGATGTTCAAAATAGAGGTGGGTGTCTGCTCTCGTCCAACCCTGGTGAGCAGGATTGTTCACAAGTGGCCACCTCTATAACTCACTATTATTCAAACTACTACGAGAATATGGGACCTAGAAACTTTCATTTTGATCATAAGTGCGTTGGAGGCCAAAGGCCTGTAGAGTATTGCAAATTCACCTGAGATGAATTTAAAACAGCAGACGACAACAGCTAATGTTCGGTGGACGCGTTTGATGAAGTGACAAGTAAAACGGAACCAAAACGGTCGTGATTCAACGAATGTGTGGAAGCGCAAAACATGTTTTACGTACGTTGCCAAGGGATGTCAGTTTGAGAAAAACGGTTCAGTTCACAGTCTATAGATTCATTCTGTTTTATACGTCTAACAACAACCGTTTTTCTATTCTATGTCATCTCACGACCAGCTATTGAGTGCAGATGTTAGTGTGCCGTCAGACACCAACAGTGAAAGGATCGTGGTAACTGACAGAGATACCATTTAAGGATTAATTCAGTGAACCAACACAAACTTTCTTAAGCTACATTAGAAATGCTAGGCTTGAATTGGGTTTCAAGCAGTTCACTAGATCCACCGACAAGGTCATAATACCATTAAATACCGGTCGCAGTTTACCATTCCTAACTATAAACGTCACCTGTGGGCGCAGATTTAGTGCATAGCTGCTTGGGTAAGTGCGTGTGCCTGCGTGTAGGTGAGCGTTCATTTTGACGGTCTGTCTTACGGGTATGCATAGGGAAGCGGAAAGCCACACGCCCACTACACAGGGTCGCCCATTTGAAAGAGGCGGATACGAAAGTCAAGCTGCGTTCCGGCGCGCAGCTGTTTCTCACGAACCAATCAACAAGTTTTCTGCTGCTATTTAAGCACGATACTCAGTCTAATTTTCCGCAAATTGAAGACGAGAAGTAGTTCCGAAGATTTTTTGAACCTTTCCGTGCTCGGACTGGAGGTTGCCTGACGATTGTTTGTTCAATTTTTTAGATGGCGGAAAATTAGCTGTGGTCCCTTAATTTAATGATGACTTGATCCGCAACGCAAATTTGTGTGGCCACAGCACCACTGACCTGACTTGTCCTAAAAACAGCTTCATCCACTCAACTCAGAATCGACGTTGTCCTTGCTTGAAAATCGATTTCTCGTGGATCGTTATTTAATATCACCAGCACCAATGTGCACGCCTCAACCACACCGTTTATGCACGAAACCCGTGCGGTGTGTTAGCAACGCACATGCCAACCGTGATGCACGGTCGCTATGGGTAGACAGATCATGAAATCCTCCAAACACTACTTTGCATTCTGGAAATGGTGCATCAAAATCACCTTGCTGCAAAGCAGTCAGTGGCCGGTCTGAGCACTCTGCTGTGATAGTTTCTTCGTGTGTATATCCGTCGGTCAGAGCACACACCAGTGTGTCAGCACGTACGCGCGACGGGGGTCAACAGGATAGAAGTGGGTTACACGGACCAAAGGCTACCGTCTGAATGGAGAGTCAGTCTACAGTAAAAGTGGGGCCGATCCAATGTCAAGCGGCCCTAACCCAACACCTCAAAGGTACACGCCAATTGTTCATTGATTCCTGATTACCAACTTTAGCTGCTCATCTGAGAATATGTATAGTGCGCTTCAAACTCACATGTTACTATGATGTTCCCTGTATAAATAAATTAGTCTTTGCCTGAGGCACTCTTTAGAGGACACGAACAATGTTTTTCGCTTCAAAGACTTTTGGTACGCAATCAGTGAATTTACGAAACTCTCTGAAACGAAAGATTCTCGGTCGGTTTCAAACTGAGGAACAGATATCCTCATCCCGTCATGACGAGATTAGGCCTTAGTCTCTTACGACGTTATTTGCGCTTCTATGACCCGCTGAGCTATACTGCTGCGTGCACGTGTTACAATCAGAGATCTTATCTTACCACGTTAGTCAGTGGGTAGTGGAGTTTGGAACATAAGTGGCGACTTACTTCTTAAAAATGTAGTCTTGGGGTAACCACCTCTACCTTGCGGTGATTAGGCCTTTGGACCAGAAGATTTGGGTTGATCGTCCTCCTGCCCAGGTCTGGACACCCTGGCAGTATCCAAGCTACACAAATGAATATCACAATAAAATATTGTCACGCCACATCAGCCGTCAAGCGATGTCACCAGATTGTCGCCCTACTTTCTGTTTTCAGAAGGTGGGGTAAGCAAAGGCAGACTATTGCTGACGCCTGCATCCTCATACCCGCTCCACCCTACCTTATCTCAGTAGGAATACTCTCCTTGTAGGTTTCAGCACTTGAATTAACCACCTTGTTCGGTAAGCAACAAGCCAAGCTGCAGCTCTTTTACATCCGACCTCAGTAAGAATCCTAAACATCTGGAGGTTTATTTTCAAGCCCCGAAAGAGGGTATACTCAGCTGCCTTTAATGCTCGCACAGGGAAGCCAGTGAGACAATTAGCGGCTTTTGCTCGTATGCTGGATTCTCTATGCACTACTGTATGCTGTCCGTCAGAAACAAGAATTCGGAACGCGGGTACTGTATTTGAATTGACTTCCTGATCGTTCTCTTCCCGTTTCCGGCTGCGCATCTCTGGTGATGCGGAGGCCGCTGCGACTGGGTATTCCGGGGTGGACATAGGGTTGAGTCATCGAGCGGAAGCGTCTCTGCTTGATTGGATACCCGTTGATAGCCCCATCTGCATGGTTCTTTCAGCAACGTCTGTGAAATAATGTCGAGCAAGTGAAGGCCATCTGTCTCAGTTTAATGTATCTGCTTACATCCTGACTGACTGTATCCTTGGATCTGCTATGAACAACTTCTAGGACGCTCTACAACGGCCTAACAGCTGGGACATCATCATGATTGCTAGGCTAAGCGCTGCCAAGGCCCGATTGCTTGGTCAAGTCCGCTTGGACACGAGAGACCCGGACAATGAATAACGCACGCTGCAAATGTGTGCCGATCACACATTTCACTACCGATTTCCGGAACAGTGGAAATCGCTTGAAAATTTGGTGCTGAATAACGAACCAGCCCCAAATCCAAATAATCTGCATTTCCATCAGCCAGCTGTAACGAGAGTCGACCGCTGCCTGCTGTTCCATCTGGAATATCTGTGTGGACTCCGATTATGCACTTTACTGCTGCTTTTCATTGAAGTTTTCAAGTGTGTCTAAAATTCGCCCATCTAGCTTAGCTACTCGGAAGTTCGTAGACCTAGATTTCAAGCAAGCCTATAAAAACTGACTCCTTCAACCTCTATAGTCTAGGTCCGACTTCAGATATCAATGGCTTTGGGATAAATATCCATAGCGTTACTCGATACCGAAACTACTGCCTACGATACAACCCAGCCAACCACGTCCAAACTCTAGATCACTGACAGAACCGTGGTTTTGTTGGATGCTACTGTCGCTGGTGCTGGTGCTGCCGTCGATGACGATGATGGTGATGATGATGATGATGACGGTGATGGTGATGATGATGATGGTGGTCCTTATGAACTAATATCTGCTTGGCCTTGAAATTCCGGGGTTTTATGTCCGTAATGGTCAGACCAACTAAATAACCACACGTGGTTTATATTCATTTAGCATAGGAATAAGTTAGTTCTTTGACGAGCTCGCATATGGAGATAACCAGCGTGAGAGCTCACTTCTTTTGAGGGACGCTAGGTCAGGAGCTTTTGGTACATTCACCAATGAAGACCAATTACTTAAAGCATTGAATACCAAACAGTTCAGAAGAACTATCGAAAAATCAGCTAAATTACTAAAAGAACGACCCTTTTAGCTCTAGAGTGGCATCCATTTTGTGGATGATGACGCAAGAATCACAGCTTGAGTGAACTTCAACTTTGTTTTACGGTGAAGCAACAACCTGTATTTATGGCAAGGCTAGCGGTTAAGTGTGCCAACTACTAAACGGGAGGTTACGGGTTCAAAACTTGCTGCTTTTTCCCAATTAGGATGAAACAGCTGTGCAACTCTTCTCTGCATTTCAGCGTGGACCGGCTACACTTACCGGACAAAATCTCCGTTTATTAGTGTCCCAAGCGTAACTCTATGAACTTTATCAAAGATGTTTACAATTTCGCCGAGGTACTCCGAACCTATTACCCTCTCTAAAATGTCTTATCTCAGAATCATCGATCGCCCGCATCAATCCTAAACACAGACTGATATCCATCTGAACTGCCGAAATTCCATGATTTCATGCCAACGCTGACTCATCGCGTGAAGGAATCCAAGCAACTAGTCTCGGTCAGTTTATTTAGTTGGATCATTTTGATGTAAACAATTTTATTTTTCAAGCTGATTGTATGTTTATGCGCTAACAATTGACGCCTTGGAATACATAAAGTGACTTCGCGCGAAAAAAAACAAGCTCATGTTGCGTTGAAAATAGACTTCCTCGTCTTATCACACACACACACACACACACACACACACACACACTTGTCGCCATACATTCACTCAGTCCACCCTGACTGCACACGCATGGCAGCTTATCGACCTGGCGGAACAAAACTTTTACATTTATCGATCGAATTCCGTTGTGTTACCACCATACAAGAAACAATTCAATGGTGCACCAAGTTGTTTATCTCAATCTCCATGCTATGTGGGGTACACTAGGTTCACCATAACAAGCACTGTTACTATGGTATTCGCAAACAGTGCACCGGACTGTAGAGGTGAGTGAAGTTGTAAAATTCTTTAATGATGGTGCGCATTCAGGTATCAGTTCGACAAGTGGTGACACGTGTAACGAAAGGGGAGCTGTTTATCCACTGCTTGTCACGACAGGGCTGGGTGTGCCATAGGGAATGACGGAGCTTGATCGAAAGGTTGTAATTGGTACAAAGACTGGTAAACTTCTATTTTGAGCGGGCATATTTGAACATTAGGAGAATGCAACATACACTACAAAAACGTATGAAAACGTCGTGATTGTGAAACCGGTGAAAATAAGGGTTAAGCAGCTGGTTGGCGTTTCACTGGCCTGAAAGACTGACAAATCCAAAGGAAAACGATTTTTTTTACACCTACACTTTCCCTCCGCAAAGCGAGATGGCTCAGTGGTTAGAGCGCGAATTTACTGACCGGAAGGTCCGTGGTTCGAAACCGACCTCTGCCTCTCGAATTCCCCTGTATAGGCTTGGGCAACCTGACAGTATCCCAGCTCTCGTGCTTCCTTCGGGTAGCATGGCACTTAGGCACCGAAAAAGTGCTATAGCTGAACCATATTTTCCCTCCGAGGAAAAAACACCAAGTTCACTGAGTTTTAAATTTTATTTCGGAACAGGTAATCGGTCGACCGATTTAAAGATGCAGGCTAGCTGGTAGAAGATCGCAAACATCACATTTAGAATAGCCAAAATTCAGTATCCAACACTCCGGGGGTTATACTTAACTATCCTTATGTAGAGTATTCTTGTCAGTGTCTGTGTCGTAGAGATCTCTAGTGGCTGAATTCTTAGTTTCAGCCCTGGGACAACACTCTCAGTTCATAAACCACTTCGTTTGGATTGCAAAGCCCAGTTCGATGGTGAAATGCTTCCTAGAATGGAGCGCAAATGAGAAGGGGCTACTTCTTTTCAGTCTATTAAATTATTCCCCCGAGAGTCAAGAAGTGTACAGTTACCCTCTTGATCTGACAAAACTTTAGACCACAGAACTTCTGTTCGATCTTTTCAGGCGATTTTTCTGGGGTGATAAAGTGTAGCCAAGTGGTTCCAAATGTAGAAACCACAGGGACTCACCAGAAGTATTTTTCCTCGCCACTTGGCCTCTTACAGGAGAGAATCGACCATTCAAAGAACCAAAAACCGGTTAACCGATTTCTTCTTAAAATTGGTGTTTTCTGAGAAGGAAATTTTTCGAATTCGTACTCCATGAAATAAAAATCGTGCTTCAGAACCCACAAATGTTTAAATAAGGGACACTGGTTTATTCATACCAATATTCAGACTTCTAGTTTGTGTGACTATACATAGAAGCTGAGTGCACCGGGAATTACCACAGTAGTTGAGATCATGTTTGAACGCTTCAACTGCATTGGAAACAAACGTGTATGTACTGCAGATTGTCATGACGCTATTAGGTGGCTTCACTGGAGTTTAGGATGGGAGTTATCTCTCGAAAGGCATCAATTCATGTCAAATTTCATGGACTGGAATAGAATGCATTCGTTGACGCCAGCATTGTTGCGTAGCAAGCGAGCAAAACATGTTGAGAATAGCTTTAGCAGTCATGATGAACAATGGGACGGTTGGGTTTAACTTCAATTCCTTGATAATACGGGAATGTTTGCAGGCATAAATGAAGCGCATAATTACAAGGCAAAGAGAAGTGCGGTTGTTTGATGGCCTGTAAATGATGGACAGTCGGTCGCCTTTATGTAAGAGGAAGTATATCTGACACAGTTGTGCACGACCAGTCATGCTTAGGTAATTGGCTACTGTGTTTCTGACACGCAAGTTGGTGACCCATGTCCTCCTGGAAGAGGAACGGAGCTTGACCTTTGAACTTTATCTGTCTGTTCGACCCCCTTTCACCACCGAATGTAATCTGCGGCTTGCTGAATCACTAGCCTGCCTACACTGCCTGGAAACATCACAAACGGGAGATTCAGCAAGGTTCCAGGTGAGTCTTTCGCAAAACCAAATTTGGTTGCAAATGAGTGTACTTTGCAAATTTCGTGCAGTTTGTTTTCGAGTAGAACATAAGGTTGAAGGGAACTCGCGGGAAATGCGCCTACTGATGAGCCCCAAGAAGGACGAAACAGATGATAGGCTATCGAACAATTTTCAGCAACTTTATGAGTAGTTCGTTACGTCTAAACTGAGTTGCAATTGTTAAAATCCGTTGAACAAAATTCTTTGAAGAGCCAGTTAAGCAGTTTTTTAATGTGATACACGTTCACGAGAAGTGCTAGTCAGTCTAGAGTATTAAACGCGCGTCAATTTTTTGCAGCATGCCAAAAAAAAACAATATACGCGTTATCTTCCAGACATTTTAAGGACAACAAATGTTCGCAGATTTCATTAAATAATATACCTCAAGATCATAAGGGCCAGTCTACCAGTGAAAGATGCAAGCCCCTTGATATATACTGCATTGCGCTACGTGGTTTTAAACCCCTGTTTTTTAAAAAATTTCCGTTAATTGCCTTAGAAATAGGCCCCTTGAATTCAACAATCTACAAATTGTCAAACATGACTTTTTAACGTTTGTGATACACGGAGACAGTGTTACTTCCTTTGTGTTATGCTCATACTACCGGAAAGACGACCGATTCTCTCCCATAGTTTACGAGAATTTGACATTACTACTGTTTATGAGAGGTGTTATAGGCGTGTATCAGACAGAGGGGCATCAGTTTATCACAGAAGACGGCCTTGGTGGGACGGAAAGCAGCGCACCTTGTTCTGAAGCTGGCTGATCCTCAGTCAAAAGGTTAAAAGGTCAAAAGGTAAAGTACGCTAGGTATTGGCAGGGGGAGGCTCCGTTAACTCTTTGGGGATTCGCATTGCTACCACAACGGGAAAGTGATGAAGTCACCCTAAGCAGAAATATATCTCCTGAAACTAGGTTAACTTTTCAGTTTCTGCAGTAAATATCTGTATGAACCCGAATTCTGACTCCGAAAACCCGTTGATGTGAACCTATCGTTCGAAACCACAATGGACAAGTTACCAATCGAATCTGGAAGTGGCTAGGCTTCCTGATACAGCTATTTTGCTATTGGAAAACTTGTTCATTAAGAATCCTTCTTCAGACTGACAGCAAATTTGGTTACACGGTTTATCACCATCATGATTCGCCTGAAGACTGTGGAACTTTCTTGTCTTTCAACTCGTAATTGGTCTCAGTAGCACTGCGTTGGAGTCACCAGTGAGCGGGGATCACCGAACCTGAGCAGTTTCAGTCGTCGGAGCTCTTTCGGCAAACCGACGGTTCAGAAATCAAACTATCTTTTTCATTATGTCTTCTTCTCGTTAAGTCTTGTGGTGTCCCTAATTTAGTTATGACATACTACACAAGCCAGCGCAATTCGTTCAGGTAGATCTCTCCATTTGACCATCCACTTGACAAATCTACCGTATTTTTCTCTCGAGTACTAATTCGACCAGATCTAAGGGATTGTCATTCGAAGAACATCTTATCGACTAAGACATTGCAGAGAGATTTTCAGCGAGAATGTTTGACTCAACGGAGGACTAGGAAGGGACCGGTTGGTGTAAACCAAACAAACAACAAATCCATGGTTGCTAAAAAGCAGCTATTCCTAGGCATTCCCTTCAACTGGTTGTTTTACTACTGGCGTTCATCTCTCTACAGCTAAGTAAATCCACTGTGTAGTGGTTTTGGGCTCCAGCCACATCATAATCGCCAAAAAATGAATCAAAGCAGGGGGTTAATAGTCATCAGGTTGTTTATCGTGCAACTATTCGGCATCCACATATCGGTTCCTGTTCAACAAACGTTGTCATGCAGTAGCCTGTCACCCTGGCATTTCAACAGTTGATTATCATGCCAGGCGGCTTCACGTGTCACTTACAGGATTCGCGCGTTTCACTAACGTAACGTTCCTAACGGAGCACATCGACAATAATAACCTTACAATCAGGCAGGATAAAGCTAGCTCATGCAGGCTCTTGCCGGCTGAAACGCTGGCTTCATCCTGCTTTTCGACACCTAACATATCCAATCGATTCACTGAACAGCACGCGTGCGTTTGTGCGTTCACTTTGCTTAACCGACAGACGCGCAGGCACGTGCGTAAGCATGCGCGCAATGCATGCTCTCACGCACACATGTCCACCGATTCGTCAAGGCGCGTGCACGTTGTTTGCAGGGTGCGTTTGCGTTTCTCAGTAGATCGAAGACTACGTCGCTCTCATAATATCGACCGCCTTCGTCAGAATGCATTATTCCAACTTATGTCAAGTAGTTCGATTTAAGGCGGTTGCGAGAGACAGAAGTCAGATTGGACTACGTTGTCCACGCCCGAAATCTCCACTCTTCAAAGTGCGACCGTATTAGCAAAGCAGAAATAACGGGGTAGCAGAAGAGCGCTTTGTTATATTTGATTGTGCTATCTAATCCGTACACAAATTATGGGTGGAGACAATTGTTCTTTCAGCCAGTGTGACTGGTGCTGTTTCTGGACACGAGGCGCCGCTTAACAGTGACTCTCTTCCGCGATGCCATACATGGCTGATGTACTTACGAAAGTAATCCAGTGGCAATGAAATAGAAGTTTGTTTTCCGGTCTTCGTGTAAATCCAGGGCTTTGCAGGCGACCTGTATACATTTGTTGGACAAAGGTTTGTACGACCATTTGGGTCGAATTTCCGGAAATAACAAAACGAAAAGCGGGGTTACGAGCGGTCCAAGTTTTAAGTGCTGAAACATCGGTTCTCTTTGGTGCGGTTAAATAATAGAGCAAGATTCCACAAAATACAGGATGTCAATATTTCAACTTCATTTCTTGAGCCAGAGTTATGAAACAATCAGCGAACGAAATAAATAAGAATAAAGTTGCATACGCTACAAGTTTCATAATATCGTGAATTCATCTTGAAAACAGTTAAGCCCAAATTAATTAGTTTGGCCTCATTTGAACTGACTGAGGGACCATCATGTGAACCGCAAGAACCAGACCCTAAGCTGGACCCAGATCCATATA